GATACCGAGATGGAACATGAAGGACTTTCACTTGACCGACGACAACTTTTTCTCGTACAAAATGGATGTCAAGTTCAACATGTTTAGTCCGTTGATGTTGAACTGGATTGTGTGCCAAGTAGGTGGCACTCACGTTGTCGCAATAAATAATCGTTGCAAATGGCACGTGGACATGTAGTTCCGTAAGAAGATTGTGTATCCAAGAAGTTTCGGCAACGGTGTTGGCTACTCCTCTGTATTCGGCTTTCGTGCTAGAACGAGAAACAGTGCATTGTCGTTTCGATGACCAAGAAATGAGATTTTCTCCCAAGAAAACACAAAAACCGGAAGTAGATCAATGTGTCATAGAGCAGCCAGCCCAGTCGGCGTCGGAGTAAGCGGTGAGAGCAAGATTGCTCTTGGCATATAATTGGAGACCGAGTTGACTAGTGCCCTTCAGATATCGAAGAATGCGTTTGAGAGCATTGTAGTGCGGCTCACGAGGGTCATGCATATATAAACATATTTGCTGGACCGCAAATGAGATATCCGGTCTTGTGAACGTGAGGTATTGAAGGGCTCCAGCAAGACTACGATAAGCGGTAGGGTCGGCGATAGGCTTGCCATCGGAAGTGAGCTTAGAGTTTAGATCGACCGGAGTGGTACATGGGTTGCAATTTTGCATGTTGGCACGTTCTAAAATGTCATTAGCATAGCGGGTTTGAGAAAGGAACATGCCGGTGGATGTGCGTGTAACAAAAATGCCTAGAAAATGATTCAACGGACCTAGATCCGTCATAGAGAATTCACGAGCCAATGAGTGAATAAACCCCCCCTATTAAGTAAGACTTGGGAAGAGGTCGTGAGTATGATGTCGTCGACATAGAGAAGTAGATAAGCAAGATCGGTGTTGTTCCGGTAGACAAAAAGAGAGCTATCTGATTTAGACTGAACAAATCCGATTCGGTGAGCATAATTTGCAAACCGTTGAAACCATGCCCTCGGAGCTTGTTTTAGCCCGTATAGAGACTTTTGAAGACGACACACATAATTTGGATATTTGGGATCCTTAAATCCCGGTGGCTGGTGCATGTAAACCTCTTCGTCAAGGTGGCCGTGTAGATAAGCATTTTTGACGTCGAGTTGATGGATAGGCCAATTTCTTGAAACGGAGAGACTAAGAACAGTGCGAATGGAGGCCGGTTTGACCACCGGGCTGAAAGTCTCRGCACAATCAACACSTTGYCGTTGACTCTTTCCGTTAGCCACGAGACGGGCTTTGTAACGACTAAGAGTTTCATCTGCATGATACTTCTTCCGAAAGAGCCACATCGAACGGACCACATTTACACCTGCAGGACGAGGTACAAGTAACCAAGTTCCATTTTTAATTAAAGCATTATACTCATCAAGCATGGAGTGTTGCCAATTTGGGTCATGTGAGGCTTGGATGTGAGATGTAGGAAGTTCAGAATGGGTGTCGATGTGTAGGTTATATTTGGTGGAGGGTTTGGCAATGTCGCGCTTCGATCGAGTGGTCATGAGATGTGTGGAAGAAGTGGGTCTTGACAGCGGTGGTGGTGGAGCAGATGTGACAGCAGAAGGCTGCTGTGAAGAGTAAGCAGCAGAATGCTGCTGTGTAGATGGAGCAGTAGGAGGCTGGTTAGGAACAACAGTGTCGAGAGGAGAGGGTGAGGATTTATTTGGGTTGGTTAAGAGTTTAATGGCAATTGGATTTGGTTCATTGTCTTGATTTAGAAATTCATACGAGGGTGAGTGAGATGGTGTCATTGAAGCAAACGGGAAGGACGTTTCGTCAAAATTGACGTGTCGGGAAAAGATGATTTTGTTGCTTTCAAGATGGAGGCACCGATACCCACGATGATTTTCTTGATATCCTAAGAAAACGCACGGAGTTGCTCTAGGAGCGAGTTTATGTTGCGGAAAGAGGTGTGGATAGCAAAGACATCCGAAAACTCGAAGGTTTGTGTAGTTTGGGTTGGTTTGGTAGAGAAATTTGTGAGGTATTTGATTCTTTGTTGCTTTTGTGGGTATGAGGTTGATTAGGTGTGTGGCCATCATTAATGCTTCAACCCAATAGGTGGGGGGGAGGTGGGCTTGAAATAAGAGAGTGCGAACAAAATTATTTATTGTTCGAATCATTCCTTCGGATTTACCATTTTGTTGGGAAGTTTTCGGACACGAGAAATGAAGTTGGATGCCATGTGATTGGAAGAGAGTTTGAACAACGGAGTTGTCAAATTCACCTCCATGATCACATTGGAAGGCTTTAATGGTCTTGTTAAATTGGGTTTTTACCATTACACGAAATTGTATTATTTTTGAAATTGCGTCGGTTTTTCATTTTAAAGGATAAACCCAAAGATAATGCGTATAGTGGTCTAGAAACAAGATATAGTATTTAAAACCAGAGACACTTGGAATAGGAGATGTCCACAAGTCCGAATGCACTAAATCAAACATGGAATTAACAATAGTTTTTTAATTGGAAAACGGAAGACAGGAATTCTTGCCAAGTTGACATGCATGGCACATAGTTAACTTGACATGATTACAATTTATAAAACCACTAGAATTTAAAAGACGCAAAACTTCCGGTCCGGGATGACCGAGACGTTGATGCCACGTGTCCGGAGAGGAAGTGAGAAGTGCAACGGGTGGTGTAGAGATCTTGTGGACGGGATATAAGTCACCGGTGCTGTCACATCGGAGGAGCAGGTGCTTGGTCTTGAGATCCTTCACAGAAAAGCCACAAGGATCAAATTCAATGGAACATTTGTTGTCCCGGGTGAACCGACGGACAGAAATTAGGTTTTTAATTATCTTGGGAGTGACAAGAACATGGTTAAGATGTAATGGACGGATGTAGGAAGGTATGTGAGCAGTGCCCGAATTGACCACGGGAATGGAGTTCCCGTCACCAACCATGATAGATGAGTTAATGTTTTTATTAGAAATTGAAGTAAGGCTACCTGTATCCGCCGCGAGATGTGATGAGGCCCCGGTGTCCATGAACCAGTCACCATCGTTCGGTTCATTTAAGTTCATCGTAGCGAAAGCTTGTGGAAGCTGTGTTGGCGTGGCAGAATCAGGGGTGGGCCAAGCCCACTCGGATGGCGTGGCAAGAAGAGCCGGCTGCAGCCCTTGTTGTTGAGAGATGGTGGCTGCTTGCTTCGGTTGAGGCCATGTCGCTGGATTTTGTGGCCACCAAGGGGGAGGAGCCCATGGATAGGAGGCCCACGGCGGTGGAGGACCCCATTGTGGCTGCTGCCGCTGCTGATGGTTGCCGGATCTGCCACCACGGCTGCCACGTCCACCGCGACTGTTGCGGTTTGACTGCTGCCGGCCACCACGTCTACCACGTGTGGTATTGTTTCCCCGCTGAGAAGACTCGGAAGAGTAGAGAGCGGTGCTTGGGGTAGGATTAGCTGGAGGAGGAACAGGGATTGGGCGAAAACGGGCAAGCCGAGACTCTTCCAAAAGCAACATCGATCGAGCTTCCAAGAATGTGGGAAGGGGTTTCTGATGACGGATAACCGTGGCAATGTGGTCGTATTTCTCGTTTAAACCGTTAACGAGATACATGACAAGGTTGCGGTCCGGTACGGGTTGCTCAATGTTTGAGAGGAGGTCAAAAATGTTTTTGATTTTCTGACAATAGTCGGTGACTGAGAGATCACCAATAACAATGTTGCGGWGATCGGTGTCGAGTTGCATGGCYCGTGCGTCTTTGTTATCGYGGAATAGATTTTCCAGGGAYCGCCAGATAGTTCGAGCGGTAGAGTCTCCTTTGATCACCATGGTGAGCAGTTGCTTACTGATGGTGCCATAGATCCAGAGAGTGACTAAGGAGTCGAGGCGATGCCAGTCATTATCTGGGGTAGTGGGGGGAGGGTCACGAATGTGACTGAGAACGCCGAAGCTGAAACAATGAGTTTCAAAGAGAATCCGCCAGGCATCGTAATTCAACTCTGTGAGGTCAAGAGTTAATGGTATGTATGCCTTAATATTCGTAATACCGAAAGGTTTTTCGGTAGAACTGGTTTGGTTTTGGGTTGTACCGGAAGTCAACATAGCAGAGGAATGAGGAGTGAAGAAGAAAAGGAGAGTAGGAAGGTCGCCGGAGAGCACAGGCTGCCGGAAGTTGGCTGCCGAAGGGAGGCGAAGAGGTGTTTCAAAATTCGAATTTTGAAACTAGGAGAGAAAGAAGGGAGGTTTGTTAGTACACTCTGATACCATAATAGTGTTTATTTTCCCATGAATTGATCTGTATTTATTTAGCAAATATATATACAAAGTAATGGGCTATACCCAGTAACAAATACAATGATAAAATACAAGGCCTTGGGCCTAAGTCTAACTATAACCCTAAGTCTAACTATAAATTCACGGTCACTGAAGTTGGTCTAACAAGGATTAGATAAATAAGCTAAAGGCTTAACACCCTTGTCCATCAAAATAGTAGGCTGTTCAAGATTTCTTTTTTCCAAAGTCAAATCATCAATGACCATACCATGATCAACTCCATGATAAGGACCTAAATTAGATAAACTATTCGGAAAAATAAGAAGAGTGGAGCTAGAAGTAGAGTCAAGAGAAGAACTGACCTGGATATGGGCTTCTTTTACGCAGAAATCTTTGGTAACAAGGCCCAAAGGGAAGAGCCATTAACAATTTCACTTTGCATGGGCTTGGGGGACTCCATTCCCATAAGGGAAGGGTCCAAACTAGCGGACCATGGTTGTTTCATTATCATGACAAATTTGGTGATAATTTTCATGGTTGTTAGATAGACTATCAATCCCCAACCCTAGCTGCAAATATGATATACCGGTTTGGTTTGATTTGGTTTAGTTTGGTTTGGTTTGGTTTGGTTTGGTTTGATTTGGTTTAGTTTGGTTTATTATCAATGTTGGGGGACTGAATATGATACTCATATGAAGTAACAGGGACCATAGTTAGATATACATTTACACCAATACGGTGAAAGAAGCCATTGCGGTACACATTCGCTGATTGACTGTGGATGACAACAGACAACAAAATCACAGCTGCCATAGTATTTAGGTACCCGAGATCTCAAATTCTTTGATTGTTCAAATTCTGTCGGTACATAAGGTTAGTGGATTTTACCTTCACTTCCTCACTCTCGGTCTTTTTATATACATATGTTGATTTCAAGTTCATATTGCTTGTATAAATTGATTTATTAATCAGCATAGTTTGTATATCTAATTCCAATCACGGATTCTGCTTATTTGTTTGTGTTTCAATTTCCTTAATTTAGTTTTGCGAATCACCTATGATGTCCTAGGATACATCGCCTGATGCTTTGATGTTTTTCTACCTTTGTTTCCTTGATCTAATTTACAGTTGTACGAGTTAAAAACACAATACTCGAAATCTTTTGCTGAAGGGATTGATGATATGCTAATTTCCCTTTACCAGCAAGAATTGAACTTATGTGATTGCACACGGAACCCTAATTTTGATTTTCTTTTCTCCTTGTTAAATTAGTTGAAAAGATGGAACGTTGAGGCTCATCGCTTTTGGTAGTTGTGTATGTGAGTGGTTAGTATAAGGCCGTGGGGTACTATTTATTTTGTATTGAACAACTTCAGTGGTTTGTTCAATCATCATGGATGGTAATAAGGATGAAGCGCTGAAATGTGTTGGCATTGCTAAAGAGGCGATTGTGTCCGGTAATAAGGAGCGTGCTCTGAAGTTTATTGGCATTGCACAACGGCTAAACCATCATTTATGTGTGGATGATCTTTTGGCAGCATGTGGAAAACTTGATTCTGCAAATCCCGGTCCATCAAATGGTAAAAGTCATGCTGCAAGTAAGCCTGTCAATGCCAAGCAGGTTGAGGGTATGAATGGAGAGCCAAATTATACAGAGGAACATGTTCAGTTGGTGAGTAAACTTAGAAGAAACACCGATTATTATGAGATTCTCGGTGTTGGAAAGAGTTGTTCTGTTGAGGAGATTAGGAGGGCCTATAGGAAGTTATCATTGAAGGTTCATCCTGATAAGAATAAAGCACCTGGATCTGAGGAGGCATTTAAGAAAGTTAGCAAGGCATTTATGTGTCTGAGCGATGAGACCTCCAGGAGACAGTATGATCAAACAGGTTTGGCTGATGGCGATGAGTATAGCCAGCAGTATAATGTTAGGCGACGGAGAAGGAGAACAGGACAAAGCATGTTTGAAGATGAATTTGATGCTGATGAGATCTTTAGGTCGTTCTTTGGTCAAAGTGACATGTTTCACACAGCTCGTGCTTACAGGACCAGACAGGCAGGTGGCCAGCCTAGGGAGGATGCTGGTGGAACGGGGCCTAATTTGATGCTGCTTCTTCAGCTATTACCATTTCTGCTAATCATATTGCTTGCGTGTCTTCCATTCTCAGAGCCTGAATATGCATTACAAAGGAACTATACTTATCAGTTCCCGAAGATGACCAAGGAATATGGAGTGGAGTTTTATGTTAGATCCTCTGACTTTGATCAGAAATATCCTCTTGGAACTCCTGCACGAGCTAATATTGAGAACAGTGTCATCAGAGATTACAAAAATATGCTTTGGCGTTATTGCCATGTTGAAGTCCAGAGGCGTTCATGGAGCAGAAACTTGCCAACTCCTCACTGTGACAAGCTTGAAAGCTTAGGAGGAATCACAGCATGAAGGTTAGCTCAATTCTCCTCATCATTAATTGTTGTTAAATATTTTCTTATTGATGGAGTTCTTTGGATGTGTGTTTTTCTTTCAGTTAAGAATTTTATTTGCATGGGGTTTAACATCTAACCGGGTGTCCTACTCCAATTTATACAGAAGGGTTCAAGGAAAAACTGAAAACTAACAAACCAATCTGAATCGCACTGAAACTGAGTTTTTGAGCAGTTCAGTTTTGGTAGTTCTAAATTGAAAACAAACTGAACCAGTTATATTTTTAGGGGAGAACCTAAAAAAAAGATCCCAAGAACCAAACGAGTGAAAAAGTATATCAATATGGATGTCAGATTAAAGATAATAAAATGATTGTTTTTTTGTATAATTTGTTTTACTCCAATTTTGGTTATATTTCGCCGATTTTCGATTAAAAAATAGGGGGGATATTTTTATTTTAAAGAAAGGTGGTAATAACCACCTTTTAAACCACATCCGTTGGATCAATCTCAATATAACGTTTTGGATGGGTTCTTCGTTTCTTCTTTTAGGGCTCTCTCTGAATCTTCTCCCTGTATTAAATTTGTGGTGGATCACGGTTGAAGACTGACCTGTTTTAGGACTGTTCTCCATACCCTTACACATTTTATGATTGCCACACAAGGTTGAACACTGACCTGTTTTAGGACTGTTCTCCATACCCTTACACATTTTATGATTGCCACACAAGGCTATTCCAGTAGAACATGTAACAAATTCCAAATGTCCAAAGACAGTAATATTTTTGTTGCTAAAATTAGTATATAATATTTGAAAGGCTTTTCCTTTATATTTTGTGGAAGATGATCAACAGAGAATCTTTTTGTCAAGCCCATATCAATGGGAAGAGCATATCCATTGGTTGCTTGACTTCCATTGGGGGCGAGGAGACTAATTTTTACAAAAATTATTTTCGCTGCAACGGTATGTCAAAATGAAAAACGATTTATAAGAGTGAAAGTATTGCATATTGACAAGTGAGAACGTTGGGGGGAGAGAATCCTTGTGTCAGGAATGTGCTGTTTATACCCACAAGTTGCCTGTGTTGCATGTGACCAGCCCAAAGGACTGTTACTGAAGGCCAACTAAACACAACAAAAATGATATGGTGTCTCTAGAAGTTGGAGACAGGTGAGATTTTTTGTATTGGGCTTATTAGTGGGGTCATGATTTCAAGTTGGTGTTGAGACATGAGCTTTATTCGTTTAAACTAGGTTGGGCCATTAGCATTATTGGGGTTGGAATGGAGTAGGTCAAGTTTAACCTCTGGTATATAGTTGGATCACCAACAAGAACTAGGTTCAAGTCTTTCACCTTCTTTGTGTACATGGATTTAAAAAAATATTTAGTGGTTAAAATGTTGTATTTATGTTTCATAGGGAAGCCATTAACTATTGGTTTACCTGGTTATATGCTCTCTCTCTCTCTCTCTCTCAGGTGGGGTAAATTTCTGGCCACATTATGCAACTTACCTTTATGGTATCTTTTTCCTCAATTCATTCAACTTCGCCAACATCAAAACCCAGGAAGGGAGTATGCTTGTCACCTTAAATTAGAGATAAGAACCCAAGTTTGTCTCTAGCTAAGAACTCACGACATTTCTATTTACTCTTCATATCCTTGTGAAATGCTGACACACCAAAAGAAAAGTACCATTGATGTGCAATACTTTATTTCATCTCAATGTCTAACTTACAAGCTATTTCGGTAGCTAGTTTGTAGAATCCAGAAAGGAAAGTACTGTTACATACCGTCAGGCGCCAGCCAACTGGAACCATACGCATCATTATTACTTAGCAAAAAGATAGGAGTCCGTTGTTCAATAAGAAAAAACCTACTCCTGATATTGTGAGACTCAAAAGACAAACCAACCCATGCTCTAAACAAATGAGGTTAATGTGACATAATTCAGGTAGCTTCATTTATCCTAATGTTGAAGGAAGTATATGCATGTTTCCCAATTTTATCAGAAAAAGACTTCATCCACAGATTGCTGGTATCGTTTTGACATATGTGGGAAGGCAGGAACAGAGAATTCTCAATTGGTTTTACTTTTGTTTTTCCTCTCTACTGGACTCAGGTCATCATGACTTGGTCACAAGAAATTCTCCATGGAACATACTGATAATATGCTTGATCTTTGCTACTCTTAAGTCTTAATAGATATGGCCTTTGGCGTGTAGCTCAGTTGGCAAAGAGGTGAGGCGAGCCCAAATACATAACAGGTCCTGGGTTCAGTCCCAGGCCCCCCGCTACCCTCAGCCGCCGAGTGAGCCACAAAATGCCCCCTCATATTTTGGAGGCAGGTTTCGTGTGGGGCTGGTTGGAGATGCCGGTAATCAACTTTTTGCCAAGTAGATATGGAATGGATTAGTAGCATCTTGATTTGTATATTCACTTTGCACAATAGTAGCATCTTGATTTGTATATTCACTTTGCACAATAGTAGCATCCCATTACATATTAAATGTAAAGAATAAGCAGGTTGACTTTTTATATATAGAATGGTGTGGGGGGAATTGGAAAGATTAATATTGTAGGCAAAAGAGGTGGAATTGCCAAATCATATTGTCATTCTTATTACTGTCAGAGTAGCGAATAACCATGGCCCAGGTGGATTAATGAGTTTATACTGTTGTACATTTTAATGTGCAATACTTTATTGCATATCCTTTCAGTTTCTCATGGTAGGATAGTCCCATGACCATAGTAAAAATGTAGAATTGAAGAACCTTAGTTTCTCAAACCTGCCCGGAAAAAGGGATCTCCTTCTGTCCTTCATTGTCTTCTTTTGTGACTGGCACAGCACCAATTAGTAAGTACTCCAACTATTTACCTATGCCCATTTTCTCGCTACAAAATTCCCATATTTTGTCATGTTAGAAGGGTCTTTTGAATCCTTCCTTTGGACTATTCAGTTAAACATATTGCAATTGTGGTTGATTTATAGGTGTAAAGTATTGTGCTTTGTAGTTGTGGTCTTTTAAGTAGGTTGGAATATTGCATGATAAATTGAAATTTGTTTTTACTATGTGGCAGGGCATATTTGGAGTAGGCAGATAAATGCAAGAAAGAAGCTGGTGAATTCTTTTTCAAGACTTGGGCTCTCAAAAGTTGGGGTTCGTTTTATATATCAGCGAGCGTTTGCTCAAGGTTTGGTTTTAGCATGGATGTTAGGTAGCTAGCATGGCATTTGTGCTTGGTATGTAAAGATTATGTTGCTAACTGAGGAAGGGATTAGATTTTCAAAAAAAAATATTATGAGAGAACAGAATATAGCGTTTTCAAAATAAATGTCCTTAGGTTGGAATTGGATTATCAATCAGCTGATGGCAAGTCATGCTCAGTTTTTTTTTCTTTGGTGTAGTTGTACTTGCCCAAAAAGGAGTTATTTAGATTCGAAACTGCAAGTGATTATTGTATAAAATCTTAAAAGGGAAAAAGTTCAAAAAAAACTCAATTAACTTTAATGTTTTGAATAATTAAATTCTTGGACAATATTTTGGAATAAATAAATTTTTAGACATTTTAAAACATGTCAAATAAATCATTAGACCTTTTTAAAACATATTGAATGAGCGTTATCACCTAAAAATGTAACCTACAACTTGCATAGCACGTAAAGAGTAAAAGTTTAAAAAAAACTAAAAACTATCCTAAACTTTCCGCCCCATCCCACGCTACCTCCCTGACTCCCTGACTCAAACTAGCTGTCGCGGCCCCTCAACCCAACGTCCCAACCCTACACCACCCGTTTTCACTGTCGCCACTGCCCTGAGCCTAGCCCGTCGTTGCCACCAATCCATGTCTGCCGTGTGGTTTGATTACGCCAACCATTTCTAGCTCGTTCTCTTTCCAACATTGAAGATAGTCTTTCCCTATAAAACTCGTGTTCCGTTACTCATACAAATTGGGTTAAGTGAACTTTGGATAGGATTGTGCATAACATATTTGTACCCTATGTTTAACCAAATTGTACATTGGACTAGTTTTGTGATAAAAGTTGAGTTTATACCTAGTAGGGCATAAAGTTGAGAATCTAGACTTGAAAGGATAAAACCTTCAAATGGTTAAATTTTATAATGAGAACTAAATAGTTTGTGGTAACTGTGAGGTCCAATATGAGCCAATCATTTTAGATAATTAATGTTATTTACTAAAATAAAACAAATGTTAAATTAGTAAATTGTATTGATTATTCAATTTACTTTAATTAGTTTAATATATCAATTTACTTTAATTAGTTTAATTATTTTAATATATGTATATATATATACACACACACACGGATACACAGGGACCAAATCCGGTTGCCTTCTCCGGCACCCACCATCACTCTGGTGACCACTTCCGGTCATCTTGTCTGGCCAAGACGTCGTATCCAATGATCGACCACTAAACACCCACATGCGACAGTGGTACCACAATTGGGACCACAGTGGTACCACAATTGGTATCACAATCTCAAAGTTTTACTTGGTGTCTTTTGGATATCACATTGTATGTATTTTGGGTATCACATTGTGTATCTTGGTGTATTTTGGGTATCACATAGTGTTCGTCGGAGGCCGGAGGTAGGGGAGAGAGAGAAGAGATAAAAAAAATTAGAACACCTAAAATGCCATTTAATTATAATTTTATACACACACACACGGATACACATGGACCAAATCTGGTTGCCTTCTCCAGCACCCACCACCACTCCGGTAACCTCCAACGGTCATTTTGTCTGGCGAGGACCAAATCCGGTTGCCTTCTTCGGCACCCACCATCAGTCCATCACTCTGGTGACCTCCTCCGGTCATCTTGTTTGGCCAAGATGCCGTATCCAATGATCGACCACTAAACGCCCACGTGCGACAGTGGTACCACAGTTGGTACCACAATTGGTATCACAGTCTCAAAGTTTTACTTGGTGTATTTTGGATATCACATTGTATGTATTTTGGGTATCACATTGTGTATCTTGGTGTATTTTGGGTATCACATAGTGTTCGTCGGAGGCCAGAGGTAGGGGAGAGAGAGAGAGAAGAGATAAAAAAAAATTAGAACACCTAAAATGCCATTTAATTATAATTTTATGCACACACACGGATACACATGGACCAAATCCGGTTGCCTTCTCCAGCGCCCACCACCACTCCGGTAACCTCCTTCGGTCATTTTGTCTGGCCAAGACGTCGTATTCGATGATCGCCACTAAACACCCATGTGTGACAGTGGTACCACAGTTGGTATCAAAGTGGTACCACAATTGGTATCACAGTGGTCTCAAAGTTTTACTTGGTGTGTTTATCACATTGTATGTATTTTGGGTATCATATTGTGTATCTTGGTGTATTTTGGGTATCACATAGTGTTCATCGGAGGTAGGAGAGGGAGAGGAGAGATAAAAAAATTTAAAATACCTAAAATGCCCTTTAATTATAATTTTAAATCAAATTACCAAAAATATTAATTTTCTAATTTATCCATTGATTTGTAGTTGAGATTGGATCTCACAGTTATTACAAACTAATCAGTTCTCACTTGTATGGACCCCTGCATATATATATATATATATATATATATATATATATATATATATGTGGGGGGTGGGTATCATAAGGTAAATTACGTTGCATGAAGCGCCTCATTTTTCTTTCATCACTCTCTCTCTCTCTTTAAAACTCTATATTTTCTCTAAAAATTCTACTAATTTACTAAGCATATATATATATATATATATATATATATATATATATATATATATATATGTATGTATGTGTGTACATAAGGTAAATTACGTTACATGAAATTGTCTCATTTTTCTCTCGTCACTCTTTCTCTCTAAAACTCTATATTCTTTCTAAAAATTCTCTTAATTTACTAAGAGAATCGAAGTAACAATCATATATTCGGAATCCACTCTTCGAACCCTTCTAATTATAAATTCGTTTCGTTTTTATTAGGGTGTTTATGTTAGGCTATTTAAGGTTGGTTTATAATTGTGTATATAAATTAGTATTTACAATTTACGATTAAATACATGTTTAAATGATTGAATTAGCTAAAATGATGTAAAAAGAAAAAAGGTAAATTGTAGATTCAATATAGTTGGATTGAGTATATAAGATTAACTGCACATTAAGTGTTCGATTAAATGTCTAGAAGAGCAAAATTGTATGATCAAACTTAGGATTATAATCATTAAGCTTCTTTGTGATGTTTACTATGTTACGGTATGTTTAGAACATTTAAATATTGCAAATCATTGAAGTTGGGATCATAAAAGTGAGTTGGTGAAAAATATGAAATCGAAATTTGGACAACTTCAAGTCCAATACTTTGACAATATATAACTCACAAACCGTAAGTCGTAATAAGATCGTATACAACAAGCAAAGCAAGCTTTCCCCTTCGTTTGTTGTAGGTCATGCCTCACCGCATGCACCGAATGAATGAAATGAGTGAAATAAATGGAGCATAGGAGTACCGGATACGAGATTCCATGTTCAACTGCCCACCTCGCAGTGT